AGGAAATCACAGAGGAAGTAGAAAATCACTACTGAAACAGAGGCAACACTGACCTACACCTGCAGGGAGCTGAGGAGAAGTGACAGGTTTTTTATGCCAAGTTTGACATTTGATGAGAGCATCTTCAAAGTTACCTTTGCTGAGTTTAATGAATTTTTTTATAAAATTCAGATGTATGTTGGGATGTGCCAGCTTTGTTTATGCCCATCTTAAGGAAAAACTGCAATTTGTGCATGCAGAAATCAAACCCTTCTTCATGAATAGCAAATCAGTGATGCCACCCCCATGCCTTGACATAAAAAATATTTGCCATTTTTAAGTCAGAGGGGAAAAAAAAAAAAAAGACAAAATACCTGATTTCATTAAGATTACTTTAATGTACTTAAATATGCCAAGCTGGCAGGCAAAGAAGGTCATTTGAAATATCACCTAAAAGTAAAGCCTGAATAAGATATTCCACTTTCTCCATTAATCCAGCCATTTGCAAACTGAGGGAAGAGAATGGATTCTGAAGTTCACCTTTGCAAGTCATGGATGGCAAATTTTTCACTGTGTCATCAATACAGCACTAACCATCAGAGCATTTATTTCTAATCCAGGCTTCCAGTTTGTCATCCCTAAATGATGCAGCAATTTGGGGCACAAGAGGTACAGAACCCTTCCAGGGTAAGCCAAGGGTGGAGGCAACGTGGCAAACACCAATTTTGGCAAGTTTTTGGTAAAAGAACAGTCAAGGTTATGTAGTTGGAGTATAGAATGATGTGAACATCTGTGATTAAGTGCAAAGGGCAAACAGAAGAAGGGCTGGGAGCAGAAAGTCAAGGCCAGTTCTTATGTATTTATTTACATTCCAGTCTGGGGGGGATGGGGGCAGGACAGAGGCAAAAAATAATAAAAATTAAAAAAAAAAAAAAAGGAAATAAATAAAAGGAAAAAAAAAGCAAGAGCACACAGCTGCCATCCCAAAAACAGACCTCCCATCTGCCACCCACGATTTGCATGTCACCTTCTCCAGGCTCATTTGTACTTCATTAACTGCCATTGACTTAACAAGATTTATGCAAATGACACCATAGGAGCTCGCTAACTCCCACTGCAATCAAGTGATTATGTATGTACAATTCTCCACAGCAATGAAAAATTAATACATGACAAGCCCCCCTCACCGCTGAGCTAAGCTTCTTGCTTTTATTTTTCTTGTTGTGTTCATTTTTTTAAAAAATTTGAATATGCCCTATTGATATAAAGATTTCCCAAACCAACAAAAACCAAATTAATTTTCCCAAAACGCTACAAAACCTCCCATCCTAGAAAGTCAATTCTCCCAAACTGTGGAGCTCAATGTGTGCTTCAAAATATTCACTCAGTCTACCAGGAACAAGACTTTTTTTCCAGAATAAATGGGTTTGGAGGGAGGATTCTCCAACCAGAGCAAGCCACTTGTTTTAAGAATATTATTAGCAATGCTACAGAAAATAGCTTAAATATTCTTAGTTTAAGCACCTTTTTCTCAGAAAAGAATCCTACTGGATTTTAACTTGAAGCCAATACTGCTCATTACTTTTTCTGTTTGATTTGCACAAGATCTTTAAAAAGCACACAAATGAAATTTTGTGTATATATATATATATTTTTTTTTTTTCGATTCTGACATTCCCAGTTCTCAGCAGCTGCTAAAAGCCCAGGATTTAGGACATGCTGGTATGGCTGTACATGCACAAGACACTGGTACCTTCCCAGGAAATCTGTCTTCCCAAAATTTCACTTACTTTAAGAGTAGTTTGGCAGGAGCAAGCAGCCACCCTTTAAAAACAAACCTGCTTTTCATTGCCCACATTTTGGGTTTCTGCTGGGAGCAGGAAGGGTCATCAGGACAATTTTATATGGCTTAGCCCAATAAAAGCAAATTTAGCACTGCAGTGAAAAATCAGCTTTACCATGTAGAAAGGACACAGAGAATAAGAACATTAACTCTTTTTGACCAGGCTGCTCTGAGTTAAGGATAACGCCATGAAGGAATGAGGTGTTTCCTTAGAAAGGAAATGGGCAATTCACAATTTTACCTCCTTCATGGAGTGGAATCCTGGAATGGTTTGGGTTGGAATAGACCTTATAGTCCATCTCCTTCCAACACCCTGCCATGGGCAGGGACACCTTCCCCTAGACCAGGTTTGCTCCAAACTCTCAGGGATTTCCCTTAAACTCACAGGGATTCAGGCACCAAGAAAAGGAATGCAGGAGCAGGTTCCAACTCTTGGCTTCTTTTGCCCAAAGCCCAGTGGCAGCTGTGCAGGTCCATAGCTGGGTCCCACAATGATCAGCAAGTCATTCATAGGGCTGGGAGAGATTCCACTTTTCCCTCGAAACCCGAACATTTCCAGCCGCCAAGGAACTTGTTTTGGCTGGAGGTTTTAGCATTTGTTTGTGGGGTGTTGTAGGGTTTGGTTTTGTTGTTTGTTTGGGGATTTTGTTGTTGTTTAGTTTTATACTCCCACATCAATCCTGGGAATGCTGCAGCCTGAAACCAGATTTCTTTTCCCAAATATCCCAAGCAATGAGAGACAGAACAAGAAGAAACAGCCTCAAGTTGCACCAGGGAAGGTTCAGGTTGGATATTAAGAAAAATTTCTTCACAGAAAGGCTGGTCAGGCATTGGCAAAGGTTCCCAGGGCAGTGGTGGTCCCCATCCCTGGAGGGATCCAAAATCCATGAGGATGTGGTGCTTGAGGATGAGGACATGGACATGGGCTAGTGGTGGCTTTGGCAGTGCTTGTTTCATCGCTGGACTTGGTGATCTTAGAGAGCTTTTCCAACCTTAAATGACTCAGTGACTCCATTTGCCACAGAAAACATCATGATGGAAGGGGTTTCTCATCTTGAGAGGAACAGCAGCACCAAGTTGAGAAGTTCCCTTCCACATCCCTCTGTCTTATTCCCAGTTAAAGCACGAAATAAAAGATACCAACTTTCCTAGCAGGAATTTCTGTTGCCTCAGAGAAAGGTCCAATGATGTGGCACCTGTCGAGCCCTCCAGCAACTGAACCTGGAGCCACCTCGACTGACCAGACCCCCAAACCCCTCCCCTCCTGACATCTGAGTGTGATATGAAATCCCACTGGGAGCAGCCACCCTGCAGCACTGCAAAACCCTCCCAGCCTCCCATCCCCAAAGCACGGGATGGATCTGCTGAGGACGCACATCAAGGATTTGTGGGTAATGGCCTGTACATGACAAAATGAAATTACCATAATTGGGATTACTAACAAGAAGGACACATTCCCAAAAGATTGGTCATATTTGGTATACAAGCAGGACTGCAAGGAGAATTTTTCCATACTGAAATTCCAGATATTTTAAGGGATATTCCTTTACAACACACTGTGGCACACACTTACAGTGTTTATCTTACAGCACTCTTCCTGTGAGTGTTGTTTTAATCAAATTAATTCCATACAACAGCATTTTAGGAAAGAACAGTATGTATGCCTGGAATAAATACTGGCACATCTATTCCTCAGTTTTACATTCTCAGATGCACTTTTGTTTAATTAGCGTTACCCAAAAGGATTGCAGCTGGTCTAACTCATCCTGTACCATACAAAAGCTGTAGGAAAATAAAATTGTAGCTTGCTTTAAATGCCTGGGATCTCCTCCCCTGAATGCAGAGCCAAATACTGAGCTCCTCTGCTTTCAAACTGCTCTTCTGGATTGCAGCGTGCTTGATTAAAATTTGCCTACTAGAGATTCACACACGACAGCATTTTTGCTGCCTGATGGTCCCAAAAGGTCTTTTAGAATGACTTTAGGAAGAAAAATCACAGCTGATAGTTAAGGGTACAAAATCAACTCCTCCTCACATCCAGAAACAGAGGAAAACCACAAAACACCCCAAAATACGTAAACCCAGCTCCACACAGGACATCCAGGGCTACTGATGGATGGCCATCCTGCTACTGGCAGGATAAGGCATGGACTGAAGTTTAGGAGAGGCAAGTGAGCCTCTGGAGGGCAGGGAAGGCACCAAAACAACTGGAGGGAAACGTGTGGGAAGAAAATAAGTGGGAAAGAAAGGGAGCTTATCTCTAGCAAGGCAACTCTCACACATGAGTAAACACTTGCGAACACTAACCCAGGAACTGTGTGAGAAGCATTCCATGGGAAGGTGGAGAGCTCAACCACATGGATTCAGTGCCATTTCATTTGAGAAAGTAAATCATCTCATTCCCCAAATCCTTCCCATCCAACGCTGGCACCGCTTCTGCCTTTCAAAGGAGTGTTCCCAGCTACAATTTAGCATCGAGTTTCCAGGCTAATGAAAGTGCATCTAGGCTAGTAAAAACAGACCAAAACAAATCCTCGGCTTCAAGTCCTGTTGTGTAATGAGAAAGTTTAATTAAGGCCACACATTACAGCTGTAAACGTTCTCTTATATAATAAGGTCTAAATGAAACTGAACCTAATCAAAGTTACAATCCCTTCATTAGCAAATTACAAACAAGAGCGCGCAGCTGACACACCGGCCATGATTATCACAACTAATTGCCTCGTTGTTACGGAGCAGCCTGAAACTGTGTTCAGATGTCCGTCTGTGGTAGCAAATTAGGGCCACATCAGGCTATTCCTGCGATCACAAGGGGCTCTTGTCGAGCGATCTGATTTACCCTGCGCCTGGCAGCACTCGGCCCAATCAAAGCCCCCTCTACAAAGGCAGCTTTGAAGCCAGCACAGCCTAGAAACCCGCTCCATATGCAGGCCGGCAGACTGCACTTCATTAGGCCTGTTGTCACATTTTCCCTCTTCTTATTCTAATGATCCTATTTTAATACACATAGGAACCTCTCCTAATTGATGTCAAGTGAGTGACTTCCACATTCATCACCGGCGCACATCAAACGCCGCTCGGCGCGCGGCCCCGCCACCGCCGTGCCGCGGACCCGAGGTGTGTCTCCCAACTATGGAAAGCAGGGAAGGGAAAAAAAATGCAACTATTTCGGCATTACCTGTTTAATTGGGATTGCTCGGCCGCTTCCAATGCTGTCTGTTCTGCTCTCCAGGACCTTCTTCTCTTTGTCTGGGTCACTCCCTTTCCGAGACTGCAGAGCGAAAAGAAAAGTTTGTGCTTCATTAAATGGACGCAGGGGATGCTTTCATTTGCCTTTTTTTTTTTTTTTTCCTTTCGGGGCAATTAAAAAATAATCTGGCAGGTAAATAGAGGCTCAAAATTGGATATACACGAGTACACAACCATCCTAAAACCTGAATAAATTTCCCATCCGCCACCCAGTTTGAAATGCATTTGGGTTTAAAGAGTTACAGCTTCCCTGTCTGAAGAGCCACAACATCACAGGACACGTTTCTGAAGTTTCCAATGGTGCCTCCAAAGGTGAATGAAGGTGCCATCTCCTCATTAAAAAAAATTTCATATACCCATGCATACATTTAATTCACACCCGTGTGGTTCTTAGAAATGTCAGCAACTATGTAGAAATGTGATTTTATAATGCTGGGTTTGACCATATGGACTTCAACTTATTATTTCTTTTCTGCTTCGGGATGGTTAGAAAGTTGGAACCGCAAGAAAAGCCGGGGACTGGAAAAATTAGCATGAGGAGAATTTTACTGATGTCTAAAACCTGAACTGGTTTTCTCCAAGGCTGGAACTGCTGCAGGAGTAAGGTCACAGCGCTCCCCTCACGACTTTATCAAGTTATATGGGAATTTGAGAACGTTATTCAGATCGCAGCCCGTTATTGGGACAGAACGCACGGGCGCGGTGATTTTGACAGATTTATTTTATTACAAAAAGAAGACCTGAGAGTCATCCTCCTTAATAACTGCACTGACAAGTGACAACTTCACTCCATTACTTTCCAATGGGAACATTACTCACACGGTATCGGAAATGGGAAAACATTTTCGTGTGCTTTTCAACTCGGTGCTGATGTATGAAAGGAGCCTGTCTGTGGTGTCCGGCACCGCCATGGGGAGCTAATGAAAACCGGCTCCGCGTTTCCAGCGCAAAGAGACACCGAAATCGGGAGGATAACCGGGATTGTGGATCGCTAGTGCTGCTTCCCCCGTCCCACAAAGGGGTGGAAGGAAGAATAAACCCCCGGAGCAGCTGCCTTTGGGTGTGAGAGGAGGGAGGGAAGGCAGCGAGGAGCATTCCGAGCGACACGTTTGCCCAGTGGGGATCCCGCGCTGCCGGCCCCGCTCCGCCGGGAACGGGCTCCTACCACCAGTTACTATGGTTTGGGGCAATGGAATGACGTGCCGGGGAATTACACAAAGAACAAATGAAAGCAAGCAAAACAAGTGGGAGGGATGAAATCCAGTGTGCAGGATAACTATTGTTCCTTGTCCTTCAAGACAGATTTCTGCCTCTGAAAGTGCCACTTCCCAAGAATACAAGGCAAAACAAAGCTTCAATGGCGCAAAGCGCCCGTAAGTGACATTGTAAAGAAACTCAGTGAAGGTGCCCAAATCCTTGGGAGGGGAGTTGTCAACTTGAATGTTTCTTTTTTATCTGACTTTTTCTACAGAAAGGACCCTGCCTCTGAAATGCAGGCTGAATATCTACATGCTGTTTTTCACTTCTGGTTTTAAATCATCACCATTCCCTAAAAGTTACTGCAGCTGGAAATCAGACGCTGCACGTGGAAGGGAAATACCTACGTGCACAACACTGGTAAATGCCTGAAGTACAGAAATGTAGGGATTTCTGTTAGGCAAATTCCCTTCTAGCTGCTCATAATCACAGAATCCCTAACACTTTCCAGGGGAGAACCTTGCATGCTCCGCTATTTATAAAGATAAATTGTGCAGTGAAACAGAGATCTGATCTTTTATGCTTTTGTACCTATGACACACACAATATGTCTTCTATCCTAGCAGAAAAAAAATCCACTCCAAACCACGCTGGAGCAACATTTCCCAGGACTTTTTCTGATGGCACATCTACACAATAAATGGTTCTATTTAAAACTTGGTGCCAGCAAACCAGAAGAAGTCTGGAAATATTAAAGTACCTGCACGAATACCACTGAAGTGATTTCCCCTTGGCACTGGAAGTCACTCACAGACTTAACCCACATAAAACCTGACCCAAGATGTCACACGTGAATTTGGGCACAACCAGACCCAGATCAGCAGTGCAGAGTACCCCAAAAGTAAAATATTCATCTCTAACAGTAGATACTGAGACAGAGAGGTCATTTTAAGTTTGAAAAACTCTCTAGGAATCCTGTAAACATATATGACAGGTAACACTGAATGTGGGAAAGGTGATGCACCTTTCTATGCCAGAAATCCCCTCACCCATTGTGGGACCTGACATGGTTAGAAATCAGCTTCTTCCTCAGTGAACCTCGTAAATGCATTTGAAATCCTCACCTGCTTATAACAAAATTATTTGGTGGTCCCAGGTATCATACTGTCCAAAACAAAGGATATTAACTTTTCTAATATTTCATCTATCTTATCACTTAAGGGGAAAATCAGCTGCTGCAACAACAGCTTTACAACAAACATTGATACTCAACGTCAGAAAGATGAGATGCTGCATTTAAAGCACTGAACATGCTTAAAATTCTCAACCCTATTCCAACTCAAAACTGTAATGAAGAAGAATCAAATATTTTCTACTTAGTCCAGTCCTCTTCCAGCAACAGAAGATCTAAAGATCACTAAACAGATTACCTGTGCTAGATAACAGGGGGTAATTTGTAATTATTAAAAAGAATATATCTGATTCTGTAAGAGATAAATTTATAAGGGACTGGGAAGAGAAACACAGCAATAAACCCAGAGCTAAATAGTAAAATATTTTAATTACACCTTCTGTTCATAACTACGCAGAAAATACTGATTATCTATTTATTCAATTAAACAATTCAATCAATTAAACAATGCCAATAACTTGGCACAAAAGCTGGGTTACAGCAGAGAAGGTGTTAAGTACTTCAGAACATAGATTACAGGGCAACTCATTAAACAATCTCACTACACCCACCTTAAAGACACAACTAATTGCGCAAAGGCAAATCATTATTATTATTTTTCCCAGTTATCAGATATTAAAGTCAACTATCAACACCCTCTCATATAGCAAATACAGTTCTCACTCATTATCCCAAAGCAGAGCTGTAGTCTGTTTGCTTACAGCTGACTTAACATTCTCCCCAAACCTTTCCTGTGACTGTAGATGGGTCTGTTTTTCTCTCCTCCCTTTCTCAAATTTTCAGCTGCTCCAAACTGAAACATCCCCAATTCCCCAAATGCCAACACCACCTCCAGAGCCCTGGCAGCACCTCACACATCCCTCAGCGATGTTTTCAGGGATGCTCAGCTCTGCTTCCAGAGCTCTGACTGCTGGTGGTTTCTGGGCTGACACTGACATCTAGTGGGGTTGGGAACTCTGGAATTCTCCCACCAAACCCCAGATTATTCCCACCAATGGGAAGAAATCAGCATGAATGTTATCAAATATCAGTGTCAAAGCTGGAGCAATTCTTCCCAGGCCACTCATTTTATTGTTTTCCACCTACACATTTGCACCCAAACACAAATGCATGATCTCCTCTCCTTAACAGGAGTGGGAGATCTGGGTTTAAATCAAAATACCTCTGTTGGGATGCACACAGGATCCTTGGGGCTCTGTGCTGTCACTCCAAAACGGTGTCAAAATTTCCAGTTGCTGAAGGTGGAGAGCTCAGATTTCCCTCAGATTATGAGGAAATGGTTTTATTGGGTTTGTATGTGGGAAGTGAGCATGACATCACCTCTGGAATAAAATATATAAATTCTCCATGTTGACAGGGAAGTTGTGGGGGTTCCTAAACACAACTAACATGAGGCTGCAGCTCCCAGGGCAGTTACACGAGAGCCCAGAAGGATTCTGTGTTTGCTACAATGTGTGTGAACTGCCAAAAAAGTGCTTACAAACCACAATTACACCTGCAACACGATCCCAAAGCTTTCAGCAAGAGAGCTTAAACCAAGGGAACCTTCACTCAGGGCTTCACTAGCATCTCCCAAACTACAACTGCATAACAAAGACCTGTCATATTGCACCAGGCAGCTTTCTATTTGATTTTTTTGTTTGATTTCTGGTTTTTTTGGTGAAGCAAAATATAGGTGGTTTGGAAAGAAAAAAAGTTACTTCAATCTCCATTATCTTTTTTAACCCTGGAGAAGAGAAAGTGATCTGATTCTGTACAGTAATAGAAGTAGCATGGGGTAGTTATGGAATAGTTTGGTTTGGGAAGGAGCTCAAAGCCCATGGCAGGGACACCTCCCACTATCCCAGGCTGCTCCAAGCCCTGTCCAGCCTGGCCTTGGACACTTCCAGCGATCCAGGGGCAACCACAGCTTGTCCTGGCACCCTGTGCCACCCTCACACTGAGAAATTCCTTCCCAATATCTAACCCTGCCCTGTCAGTGGAGGTCCCATCACTCCAGACCCTTGTCCCAAGTCCCTCTCCAGCTCTCCTGGAGCCCCTTTAGGCACTGAGAAGGGCTCTGAGGTTTCCCTGGAGCCTTCTCTTCTCCAGGCTGATCAACCTCAAGTCTCAGCCTGTTTTCCTAGGAAAAGTGCTGCTGTTAAGTCTCAGACAGAACCACGGAATGGTAACTCCAGGATATTTTCGTTTGAAGCCCACAGATCCATCAGAGTGCTGCAGTGTGGATGAGAGCAGGCCAGCTGCAGAGGGCTGAGGCTCAGGCTGTCCCCACAGCAGCACCCCCAGCACAGCAGCACGGGGCCCCTGGCTCACTCACCGTGAAGAGGTTGGATCGGCGCTTGGACTGTTTACGGACAGGAGTTGGTGTGTTGGCAGTGGGAGGAACATCAATCCGCAGCTCCTTCTGGCTGGTGCTTGGAGTTGATGGGACAGAGGAGGAATAATCACTTAAACTGCCTCCTCCATTACTGGTCTGCAAGGATTAAAGGGAGTTTTAAACGGTGGCACACTGCTTTCAAGAAATGACAATCCACAGCTGTATCTTATCTTATTTACTCCTTATTTACTCCAAATTTATGCAGAAGTGCAGCCAGGGCTCAGGGGCTCAGCAGAGCTGCCCTAATGCCACTTTTCCACACATTTCTATTCCAAGCCTTTAAACATCTCCCCTGCCATTATTTTTTGAATACTTAGATAGCTCTGTTTATACAGCAGGCACATTTTCATTCTACACAGTATAACCTTAACCGGGCATCAATAGTTTCATTTGTTTTCTAGTGTATGAGTAAGCAAAACATTGGGGAAAACCTTCCAAATCTGGATTTCTACTGAACTAAATTCTAAGAGAAAATACCCAGTGCCATGGACCTGCATAGCTGAAGTTAAACCTACTCTGGAGACACTAGATCACTGAGAGCTGATCAAGAAAATGAAAATAATTCAGGGCTGTCAAAAGGCTACTACAGGGCTGGATAAAGCCCAACATATTCCAAGCATCACAGAATCTCCTGAACTGCAAGGGACCCACAAGGATAACTGAGACCAACTCCTGCACAGGATTTGCTGAAGCTGCTGGTGCAAAGATACGAAACTTGTAAATAAGATATACTGATTTATTCAAGGCAGCCAGAACTGTGATGTTACATCCTAGTCCTGAAAGAAATAAAGCACTGAGGCTATAAAACAATAAATGAACAGAAGTAACAAAATCCTAAAAACAGGGAGGTGAGGAAACCAGAGAGAATGAAAAGGACCAAAAGGTGATTAAGAAAACATCTTATTTTTTCTTTAAAACAACTTACTGCACATGACATAAGTACTAAAAACACCATTAAAGGAGGAGATGCTCTATGTGCTAGATGGGGACTGGGGCAGGACAACAGGGAAAATTCTGCCAACTGTGGATGGAAAACTCGGCAGAGGAACAGCAGTGGATGAAGGGGCTGGGCAACAACTCACATGTAATTTTTTTGGGAAAAGGAACAATCGAGATGCACAAAGAAGGAAGGGGAAAAGGCCATATTTAAAGCAGTCAAGTCTCCTAGAGGAAGTGAGGAAAGGTGGTAAGAGGGTGTTTCCAGAATTCCTGAGGAGAAAGAAGCCTGATGGGACTTCCCCCGTGCTCCTTGGGGATCGAGATCTCAAGCTGCAACCAGTCAGGATGAAAAAGAAGGAGACAATCCCTTACACCCCCAGCTGAAGTTTCTCCATCTTCCAAGTTCTCTTCTGATTCTTGCAGCTTTTCCAAATCAGGGAGCAGAGGTGAAGGCACTGAAAGCAACAGTGGGGCCAGAGAGAGATTCCCTACAACATTCTCAAAAGCCAGAAGTAGCAGCAGAATTGGGAGATGTGTACAAAACATAGGAGATAAAATAATGTAATTGAAATGAACATTTTTAGTGTCCTAATGAAGAATGGTAACACTGGACAGATGAGCAGGACAAGCTGGGAAGAATTTTAATGAATTACCTCACTTTTGCTTTTCCTGTCTCTGTAGCAGTTGTTCCCAAACCACCAGATGTGCTGGAGATGAGAAAGGTGGCAAGGAAATCCTTTTTTTTTTTCCTTAACTGAAATTAAACAGATTTATACCCTAAGAGCCTACTTCCAAAATGGAGAACATGAAGGAGTCCCTAAAATTTTACCTTTTAAATCCTTCATCATTTTACACTTTTTGCAGCTGTCTCCTGGATTTCCAAGTGATTTATTTTCTGGGAGTAAGTAACTCCTAAAGGAAAACACAACCCTGTTGGATATACTATTCCTCAAAGACACACAGAGAGTTTCTATAAGAGAAGTCCTGCAGGCAATGTTTCTCTTCTCACACACCAAGCCCAGTGGATTTACAACTTTGTAAATAAAACTCTGAGGTGATTTCAGAATAAGCCACTGGCTGGAACAATGAAAAACACAACAGACAAGCACTTGGAAACCATGGAATGGTTGGGGCTGGAAGGGACCCCAAGGAACATCTAATTCCAACTCCTTGCCATGGGCAGGAACATGTTCCATGCTGCCCCAAGCTCTGTCCAGCCTGGCCTTGGACACTTCCAGGGATCCAGGGGCAGCCACAGCTGCTCTGGGCACCTGTGCAGGGCCTCAGCACCCTCACAGGGAGGTATCTAAAATGCTTCTTCTAGATGAGTATCAGGTTACTTAGAAACAACTCTGCAAACACAAAAGGATTGTGGTACATCTGGCATTAAATAAATCACCACTCTTCTTTTAGTATTGATATTCCAGGAAATTTCCAAAAAGCTTATCCATAATCAGGTCTCACATACAATGAAACAATGGATGACCAAGCTGAGCACACTTTCATAGTTTATGTTTTTGGACAATTGTGCTGCAGTAAAAACTGTCTGGAGGCATTGTGCAAATGTAAATAATGCATCGCTGCAGATTTGCAACAGGTAGTAAGGAGTGAGCTTGTGTGGCAGCCACACCTGAGCTGCAGCTTTGTACTAGATGTTAAACTCCACACCCTTCCCAGGAATAATATCTTTGGATATCTTTGGAGAATGACTTTGCTGACCAAGAAACACAACTCTTGGCACTGCAGTCCACGTGGATGGACACCGAGGGGCTGCAGCGTGTCCAGGGAAGGGAATGGAGCTGGGGAAGGGGCTGGAGCCCCAGGAGGGGCTGAGGGAGCTGGAAGGGGGCTCAGCCTGGAGAAAAGGAGGCTCAGGGGGCCCCTGTGGCTCTGCACAACTCCCTGCCAGGAGGGGACAGCTGGGTGGAGTCGGGCTCTGCTCCCAGGGAATGGAGGCAGGAGGAGAGGGAACTGCCTCAAGTTGCACCAGAGGAGATTTAGATTGTATTTCAAGGAAAACTTCTTCACCAAAGGGTGTGTCAGGTCCCTCTGTCATAGAGGAATGTATGAAGACCTGGCAGACATGGAAACATGGTGCCATTTTCAATCTCCTCTTGCAGCAGAATGTAACAGCTGAATTTCAGGGAAGCCAGCCAGTGTAAAAACATATGCAGACTGCAGATTTCAAGGAATTATAGTCCCTGGTAAAACAATCTTTCCATCTTTACCTTCAAAACGACAGTTCACAATTAAGCTCACACTTCTGGGGATTCCTGGCTGGAATCTGCACATCAATTTGTCTGGAGAGGGGCCTGAAAACTTTCACACAAACAGCAATGACAGCTGTTGTGCCAAAGGATTTTCCAGCTGTTTTTACAAGCAGTGCAAACTCAAACTCAGGCCCAGCTGCAGGTAACTCCTCAGCAGGTTATCCAGCCCCCACACACAGGCACTGAGGACCAAAGGTGGAGCTGAGCAGCCTCATGGGTTTGGGAACCAGGTGATCTCCACCTCCAGGTGCTGGGCAGAGGAAACAGCCCTTTGGAACTGCTTTTGTTGGCACTATTCTTCTAAGTTAATACCTTAAAATTGCCCTCCTGATGTGTCAGGTGTAAAGGACAAACAATTCCTCTAGCACCAGGATGAATTTAGGGAAAAGGAATGCCTCTGTGGGGTTTTGTGAGGGAAAAAGGAACTCATTCTTCTTTGAAATTAGACTTAGCATGGTATACAAGCATATCACACCTACAAATATCATCAAGGGATTGGGGAATGAGGGAATGAACAGTGGGATAGACATGCAGAGCACACAGATATAGAAGCAACTGGTCTGTACCTGTAAAAAGGAAATTAAAACTTATTCCAAGATGCCCTGTGGCCAATAAGAAGCCTCCAATCCACTGCACAACACCTCTTCCCCTCTAAACAGCTCAGAGTCCCTCTTGAAGTGTTCCAAAAAGCCAGACAGTGAGCTGTGACTGGAATACCTGAATGCATCAGACAGAATGTAAGCGATGTTGCACCATCCCAACAGTTCTGTCCATCATGGATGGTAATCCTTGGATTTGAGAATAAAATTCTTTCCATGCATTCTGTGCTGCCCTGAAAGCCAACAGAGGTACCCAAAGTACTTCCAAGGGTTGTTGGCTCTGGGTATCAAGGGTTTCAAGGAAAACCTTCCCCTTGTTTGCCATACACATTAAAAACTAAGGCAGAAGGAAAATTAAGCTGCATCTACTACAAAGACAAGCAGATTTTGTCTCTGGAATAGGAAGTATCTTACTGTGTGGAACAGGCTTCTGGAAATGAGGAACTATAGATATTCCTGAGAGCATTTTCTGTAAAGGAATCTTACTGAGGCATTCACCACCTCAGACTCCTGAACACGTGGATAGAGAGAGAAGCACCCAAACACACAGACAAGTCTTTCACAGAATCCCACAATGGTTTGGATTGGAAGGGACCTTAATGCTGATCTCATTCCAACATCCTGCCATGGGCAGGGACACCTTCCACCAGAACAGACTGCTCCAAGCCCTGCCCAGCCTGGCAGACTGAAACCACAGACACCCTGGATGGTGCTGAGCCTTAGAATTCCCCCTGGGGTATGATGAGCACTAGCCTGGTTAAGGTGACACTCGATTCTTTCTTTTCTTTCTCTAAAGCCTAAGCTTTTGACTGCAGAGTCATCTGGAGAGTTTGCAGGAGTTCAATCCCCAGGATGATCCAACCAGAGATAGAACAATATCTGACTTTATCTGAAGTGCTGCATGTAACCACTGCCTCTGAAGGCCTTTGCTCCTGTGGAGAATGCAAGTGGCAGGGCACTGCACCGATAACGGGTTTGATTCATGGAGGAAATCTTCAGAGAAACATCATTATGCCAAGAGAGATGTTCCAAAGGGCAAGACACCAGCCAGTCTTCCAGCCAAGATCAGAGATGGCAAATCTTGCCCCAGATCATCTTAAACTTGGAATTGCAGTTGCAAAGTTCTTTTAAGTCTGGGATAAGGATTCAGCTTCCTTCCCTTAAACAAGGTCATACTGCCTTTAAGTGTAGCACAAAGGAGATATGACATGAAACAGATTTCTGGCCTCTACTTTTAGGCATGACATCAGTCTCAGAAGAGAGACATCTTTGACTGGTGATGCAATTGCCCCTTTAGGTAATTATGACACGTGGCAAAGGCAGTAGAGAACATTATTTCACTTTTATTGAAACAGAATCGGGGGAGCCTTACCACAAAAGCTATCTTGTCTCGATTTTCCCAAACAGTTCTTATCACTGGCAAGATGTTTTGAATTTTTTTCAAAATGCATAGGTGATAGTACTGGTCTAGAATCTGGTGTTTGCTGTTGACCTTCAAACTAGACTTGGGTAGGAAATCAGTGAACACCCAGATATTTGATGTCCTTCATCAAAAAAAGGTTCATTAAATGCCCTCAGAGAGGGCGAGCTCCAAGGGCCTGTGGCCATGAACTGCTCAGGCAGAGCAGCTGAGGAAACCTGGAAAGGGAAGAACCTCTCCCATGTGAGAAGTTGTAACTTCACCAGAAGGCACCAGGGTCCTTCTGAAGAGCAACACACCTCACTCAGCACCTGCTTTAGAAAGGGGGGTCTCAACCCCAGCATTGTCTTTGGGCTCATCAGCAAAAGCCACAGTCTCAGGTCATATCAGGACTCAGCTGGAAGCAAAGTAACTCACAGCAGAGAACTTTCAGGATTGAACTGGCAATTGCATCTTTAGGGTTATAACTCTGTGGGAAAAACTCCCTTCTGCCAAAAAGCAGGAACTGTGTGGGATAAAGGTCCGTAGTCAGAACAAATCCTCACATGGGTGGCTCAGGACTGCAAAATAAGCTGCTTATTATTGTGTTTGGCCTGAAAGCCACACCAGAATAGCTGTGGGTGTCTGACATCATTCAGTTTATAGCCCAAATGTCCCAATGTTTATGTTTACGTCCCAAATGGGGACATGCTCAGAGATTACCAGTTGACACTAGAAAACAAAGACACTGAGGAAGGACATCGCCAGGGAAACACAGGGGAGCATGCAACACACGTGGGTAAAAGTTGTGCAAGTCAGAAAATTTTGGTATTAACCATATATTTCTTAAAATACCATCAAGTGTAAAATTCCAGCACTCTAATCAAGCTGAGATACACCAGCTCAGCACAGCTGAGTGAGAGTAACCAGCAAAAACACAGCGAGGGGATGTTAAACCACAGCACAGCAAATCCTGTGACTGCAATGATTGGCCTGCTCAGACCTGCAGGCTGCTGGGTATCAATGAGAATGATCAAGGCAGGCTTATCAACCCAAGCAGGCTCTAAAGCCAAATTATTCTGCTTTGCTACTTTGTTTCTTGAACTAAAGCCAGTCTAAAAAAAAAATTCAAATATCACTTCAAACTACAGATCACTGACAGCATTAAAAAAACAGCAACTACCTCTCCAGCAGCAAAGAGAGCACTTGAAACGTCACAAAACACATCAGAGATGAAAAGCAGCTCATCAATTCCTTTTCCAAGCATTTATTTTATCTGTACCTGGCTGATATGTACGGCAGAAACCTGGGCAGAACACACGGAGGAGTGGCTCGGAGAGTTGGGTAGAGATTTGCAGGGTCCAATTGAGAGCTGCTGTTTCTTCTTGGTGGAAACGATCTTCTGGGCAACTGAAGGGAAACAAAACATCCAGGCAGGTGAGGCTGAGCACGTGTGGAAAGCAGGGCATGACAGGAAAACACACAATGAACAACACACAAACGGGGAGGGGGAGTTCCACCACCAAACCTGCTCCAAAAATTGAGTGTATTACAATTACAGGGAATACAAAGAGTGCTGGTTTTTCCATGATGCTCCATGGCAGACCCCAGCTAGGTTCTCCACATGGAGGATGTGACTCCAGAAGTCTCACTCCACCAGATGAGCACCAGAGGACTTGGGGGAAAAAATTACAAAAAGCAATACCAGGAATTCTGTACCAAGACCCCTCTGTGCATATAACACCACACTCAAAAAGCTCACAGTAGCAAACATTTTCTGTTCTTCTTTGGGATATTCTCCTGGCAGACAGAAGATACCTGGTCTCTGCTGCCAAGGAATTAGATGGATTTCCCTTCTTTACCAGCCATTGCACCAGGAGCCCAAAGCAAAGATTAGTACAAAGATTAGTACTGATAAAGGCTCCCTGACATCGAATAAATACCTGCACTGTGGTACCACACATCCCAGTAAAATTCTTTGTGGAAATCATTATTTCTAATTTTAGCTTTTATTCCTTAGCAGCAGCAACACAGCTGGACAATGCATCATTTGTTTTACAATTTATTAAGACATTTTCTTCAGCATGGAAGGAAAAGCAGCATTTATCTAATGGATACAGGGATAAGAGCCATTAACATCTCTATACACAGCCTGGCAGACCCATAATAAGAAAAAGATCAAACAGAACTGATGTGAAATGCAGCAACTTCCAAATCTCTCCTACAGTTTTTCCATTTAAACAAGTCAAACTATTTCAGAAATTCATCCCATCACACACTGGAACTTGACTTCATGCTGGTAATTCAGCTAAAGCCTTTGGAAAGAGCTCTTTTTATGCCATAAATACGTAAAAATAAAATTTCTTGCAACCTTTTGAGTCACAAATTTAAAACTAATAAAAATTTCAGTCTTTGGAAACAGGTACTTGTGTAGTGGCTAATCAAAAATGCCACTAACTAAATTTAGCTTACTTGCATGCAGTTTACTTCATGAAACTTGTGCCAAGGAGTCTGCAGTCACTTGCAACACCTCCACCAAAACCAGTGACATTTTTTGGCATCTCCTTACAAAGTCCCCCATAAACTCACTGGAATTAAGCCAACAGAACCCAGCGTGTCTCATTCAGAAAACACAAAAAGATAATCATGTGAATTCCAAGATTATTTTCCCTCACTACATTACAGCACAGGCAGGGACATGGTTTTTTCTCAAATGAATGCAATTTTAATAACAAACTGGTCTGTGGCTTATGTTTTTCATGTAAATGAATGATGGCATAAGCATGATTTAGCGAGAATACATTGTATGAAGAATGGCTCATATATATGAAGAAGCAGCTTCATTAGTTACATCCCACCTCCAATAGGCCTCTTATCATCCTGAAAGGATGATATCAATTAATTTATCTTCCCCTAGCATATTGATCATAACCTTCATCAGCTAATCATGTTTAAATTAAAGGGGAATATCGTAGCACTCTGTCATTTCAGACCCATTGGGTTATTGATCTGGAGCCTGGGAAGCCATATATTAAAATATTTTAAAATACATTAGCGAGTGAAGAGAGCAAACCAAAGGTCAGATTTTAACACATGCACATGGATTTCTCTTCATCCTATGTGGTAAAGACCTAAATTAAGACCAAAACTGAACAAAAACCACACATGAATGAAAACTACCTCGTCTGCAAAAGCTCAGGCTCTCACATGGGAGAGATAATTAACCAAGGAAAACATTTACCTCTTCAATGTGAGGTGTTGGCATCACACTGACACACACAGCACAGTCTGGGCAAGGAAGGGGAAGGAACAAGGAAAGAAACCCAAGGCAGTCTGAACTTGGCAACTCAAACACATGACCTGAACAGGAGCAAAGCACCAGGGTGCTCCAAACCTTGGACACTTCCAGGGATCCGGGGCAGCCACAGCTGCTCTGGGCACCCTGTGCCAGGGCCTGCCCACCCTCACAGGGGACAATTCCTTCCCAAGATCCCATCTAACCCTGCCCTCTGGCAGTGGGAAGCCATTCCCTAAATTCTGTCCCTCCATCCCTTGTCCCAAGTCCCTCTCCATGAGGGACTTTAGGCCCTGGAAGGGGCTCTGAGCTCTTCCTGGAGCCTTCTCCAGGTGAGCACCCGCAGCTCCCCCAGCCTGGCTCCAGAGCAGAGGGGCTCCACCCTTGGAGCATCTCCACATCATTATACTGGGGGCCCCAAACTGGACACAGGTGGGGTCAAAATAGACCATTCTTCACCTCTAATTCCTTAGCTCCTCACTCCATCAGAACAATGATGTCCTATAAAGTGAATAAAAAATTTGAGAAAGCAGAATTTTTTTTCCCAAGCCTTCAGGTTTTGTCTCATTCCAGTGCTGCTTCTGAACACAACAGTTGAATTTAATACTCTCTAAATCATATCTCTAAAACAGATGAATACAACTTAAATCTATGGCAGATATCAAAAATAATTCAGAGAGAGAAGCAATTCAACTACTTCCAAAAATCAATTTAATTGTCTGTACTTTTAAATATTCAAGCCATCAATTTGGGACAGATTTTATTGTAATCAGTAGTATGAAAAACTGAACAAAATTTATGTGCAAAGTCAGGAAGTCTTCTGCAAATAAACAGGGATATGCCATGGATACTTAAAAGTTGTAAAGAAGGAGAACTGATACTTAGCATATATTTGGTCTTCTAGGGGAACTGACACTTATTTTTTATACATTTAAATTTAATTCCACAAGCCAGAATGACTGGGAGTTGTATTCTGCTTGAAGGCATTGATAATTAGAAGCATGTGAAATTCCCACTCTGAGTTGGGAGGGAAAGCTCTTGGCTTGAATGCCTCTTCTTCCATGCCTGACCTAGCGCACCACAACAAAATTAACCTTCCCACCCCCTGCCACTTTCATCTCAAATGCTACTTTTTGTTAGTCAAAACCCACTCATTCCTCAGGACCTCCCGCTCCCTCCCTGGCCTGGATTTCAGGGAGCCCTGAGCAGGAGAGCTCGGAGCTGCACATGGATGTTTCCACGTCCCAGCTCTCGGGATTTCCGTGCAAACCACCACGTTTTCCGAGTGAAAAAAGGGAGCGCGCACTCATCGTTCCCAAGCTAAGCCCTCGCGTTCGGCTCTCGGGGGTGGTGAGCAGAGGACTGAATTCCCTCGTGGGAGGAGCAGAGCTGTGCCTCCAGAGCAGACCCCTCTTGGTGCTCACCCGTTAGGAACGCCGGCACCACAAGAGCTGTGCTGACACAGCTGTCTTGCCCTGGCTCAAAGCACTGTTCACACATCAGCTCGACCTCACCAGTGCAGATCCATCCAAGGACAAGGATGAGAAAGGCAGAGACCTGAGGGGAAAATATCCCCCAGGAGAAGTTCAAGGCACAAGGTGGGAGACTCATCCAGCTCCACATCAGAAAACTGACAATACTCTGTAGCAGCTCCAAGAGATGAGCTGAGGGAAACCTCATCTAGGCTGAGACCTGATCTCTCCCTGCTCCTAAGGTGGGTCCTGGAAAACACCCAAAGGTATCAGCAGTCTGATCACTTTTCATTCCCAAAAGGCAGGGAATACAGTCATTCCTCTGCTCTTTGCTTCCACCAAGGAAACCTTGGGATATTAAAAGGGGTGACTCCAGGCATACAAGATCTGTAACATCTGGTGCCATTTCTCTTCTCAGTGATCACAGTTCAGGGGTGTTGCATATTTTAGGAGCTGCAAACACTCTTCTCCAATTGCCACTAATTTAAATCAAAACTGGTTTCTCATAAAAACCTGTGTAAGACCATTCATCTCCTCTGCATGTCCAAGAACGAGTAAACAGCGGGTTCAGTTAAAACCTGCCACTTGTGCAAAAGATGGGAATACAGGAAATTTTCCCTCACTGATGGACAGACAAGAAAATGGAATTCAGTTGAAGTTGGAATGCTGATGGCTGAGTGAAAAACATCAGCTGGGATAAGCGTTTGTTTAAATAAATACCTGTTTTAACTACTTGGGAGAAAAAAACAATGCAAAATTGGGAGTTTTGTGTGAGCAAGTATTTGCTTTTACCTTAAAAAACACAAGTAGAAGTTGAGATATATAGCAGCTTACATTTTTACAGCAGATGCCTTTTAGCTTAATATTCCATGTTTACAGGATAAGTAAGGGTTCAATAAAAGTAAATTTATTCCACAATTACATTTTGCAGAAGAGGCAGTAATAACTACCAGAGCAAGCCCTAACCACAAATGCTTCCAAATGGGAAACATTAACCTAAGTAGCCACTATTAAGGCCATTGTGCCTGTTATTTTAAATTCAATCCATTTTCTAGGCTAAACAACCTTTATATTTCTCTGTTTAAAAGGAGAGCATGACATCCCACGTGTCAGGTATAATAGAGAAAAGAGTGCTGGACAATTCTAATGCTGGAGTTTTGAATTGGCAATTTATCCAGCTAATTCCTGGCCACTTGCAGCCAGAAATGTCTGAAGTTACTTTACCCTGAAGAAGCAGTGCCAGTGTAAAGTCACACCAGGGGAGAGGAGTTTCTGCTCTGCACTGAGCACAAAGCCCTTTCAGACAGCCTGTGGTGGAACTCACTGGGAGAAACCTCAATGGCCAAAAAAGAAAAGTCAAATTGATCAAAAAAATACAAATCTGTAGTGCAGGGCACCAAAAGCATTAGGAAGTTTTAGAGGACGAAGTGCCTGGTTAACAAATCTTTGCTTCTTAAACCTTGTCTTACAAGATATGAAAATAGAGCTGTAAATCAGGCTTGGTATTAAATACCTTTCATCAATGCCAACTTTTTTCTTTCCCCCCTCTCCACAGGTAACTCTAATTAACACTGCACATCACATGTTCCCAACTTCCATGCAAATCACTGCCTTCCAAGGCTAGGTAAGCAAATATGCCAATA